AATGGTTTCTCGGCGCAGTGACTCCCGACAACTCGCCCGCTAATTAAAAAATCTTATCTTTGCTCCTAATTAACATCAAGGAATGAAACCAATGCTGCCCGATGGAGAATTAAATTCCCCATCCTACAACCCGCGCTCCATTCCTTAATGATAATTAGGAGCAGAGATACGATTTTTTAATTAGCGGGCGAGTTGTCGGGAGTCACTGCGCCGAGAAACCATTAGGTTTTTCATAGCGCCGCGACTTTCGTCGCAGTTTTTATTTTTTTATTACAGAGATTAAGAGATGAAACGGGGGTTGATGGATGGGGAATTTAATTCTCCATCGAACAGCATTGGTTTCATTCCTTAATGTTAATTAGGAGCAGAGATACGATTTCTTAATTAGCGGGCGAGTTGTCGGGAGTCACTGCACCGAGAAACCATTGAGTTTTTCATAGCGCCGCGACTTTCGTCGCAATATTAATTTTCTTATTACAGAGATTGAGGAATGAAACGGAAGTCGAAGGATGGGAAATTTAATTCTCCATCGAACAGCATTGGTTTCATTCCTTATTGTTAATTAGGAGGGGAGAGACGATTTTTTAATTAGCGGGCGAGTTGTCGGGAGTCACTGCGCCGAGAAACCATTAGGTTTTTCATAGCGCCGCGACTTTCGTCGCAGTTTTTATTTTTTTCTTACAGAGATTAAGGAATGAAACGGGGGTTGAAGGACGGGAAATTTAATTCTCCATCGAACAGCATTGGGTTCATTCCTTAATGTTAATTAGGAGGGGAGAGACGATTTTTGAATCAGCGTTCATAAAGGATCTCTTTTGAATCAGCGTTCTTTAGAATCATTTTTTGAATTTATTTCTCCATCGAACAGCATTGGTGTCAGTCCTTAATGTTAATTAGGAGCAGAGATACGATTTTTTAATTAGCGGGCGAGTTGTCGGGAGTCACTGCACCGAGAAACCATTAGGTTTTTCATAGCGCCGCGACTTTCGTCGCAGTTTTTATTTTTTTATTACAGAGATTAAGAGATGAAACGGGGGTTGATGGATGGGCAATTTAATTCTCCATTGAACAGTCTTTGTTTCATCCCTTAATGTTAATTAGTCGGCGAATAAGTCAACTGAAAAACATAAAGTAAACATTGAGTACAAGGAGGACAACAACCCTCCTCTGAACCTGGCCCTGTCACAGCGGGACTGCTACTGCCGAGTTACTCACGCACCCGACTCACATTTACCGACAATTCGACCGGAACGCCGCCTTTCCCGTGGGTACCAACTAACATTTTTGGAGTCAGTCAAACCACCCGATCCGGGCCTCTACTCAGGTCTATCCTCTTTGGTACGGGCGGCAATGTCAGAGATAATGGTTGCGTTTCGGAATCAACTACTGTAGCTGCAGTAAAGCGAAATTAGATAGGGTTACAGTACTGCTACTGCTACTAAGTCGATTGCGAAACGCGCCCAATAGGGGAGATTGCTCAGACTTATGGGAACCAGAGATTATAAGGGAGATTGCTAGCGCCTATGGAAACGCTTCAACCACAAAATTTCGTAGCGAGTACGTACCTGGAAGTAAAACAGGGAGCGTGTGAGAGCGTCGATAACGGCGCAGAGTGGGGGGAAACGCGTATGGGTGAATCACCCCCAGGTACCTAGCCGACATAGGTCACTAATTAGAAAAATGATCTTATGTACTCGATTGTACATCGTTAGTACATGATTGTACAGTGATTTTTTTTGTTTGTACACCCACCAATTAATTTAAAAAAATTAATGAAGTTTTGGCATGATTCTAGCCGACAAAAATTTCAAACTGTTCAATCAGCTCAAGTTAGGGGTCTATCTCAAAGGAAATCGTTTGTACATTACGAATTTGATATTATTATCGTTTGTACAATCATCATTTATTAGTTAAAGCTGCGGTAAGTAATCATTGTCAACCCCCCCCTCGCCCCGCAGATCATTGGTAGTTCCTACGTTATCGACATTAATATTTACATACACTCTGGTCCGTTGTTTATATCGTTGTCCATATTATTATTCCATTATTTATCCCAATAAATGAACATTGAATGCTTCGAAGTTACAGTTTATTAAGCATCAATGGGTACATTCGTTTTTTTTTCGAGCACGGAGGAATACTTGTGTGCAGTGTTCTATCACCTTGCATTCTGACAAGTAGAAAGGGTTATGGTTGATTACAATCATTAGCAAAAAATTTACTAATGATTTGCACCAGGAGAAGGTCCGCCGATGTTGGCACATGCCGAGTGATTTCTCTCTTCGAGGGAGAAATTGGCAGTAAGTAAAATTGATTTTATTCCAAATTCAATCATTCATTCTCTTAATTTTTTTACAGTCGATTCCTTGTAAAAATTTCGTATAAATAAATGACATTAAATTTCTCATGCGCAAATTTTATATTTTCATTCAGTTACTTTCATTTGATTGATTCATTTTCCCTTTTGGAAGGCAAAATTCAATTTCACCGTTTATTAAGGGAAACTTGAATAAAACCTCAGACAAAATTCGTTTTTTTTCCAAGACTTGATCAGTAATGGCTGAATACCTTGCTCCCAAAAAATAAAAAAATTCTCTTAGACTCATCTCCCCGGCACCCATCTCACTAGGAGATTTTTCCACCGGAAGGACCTTCTAATGAACATCATGATTCTTTCATTTTTATGAATCTTTCAGATCAGATTAAAGTCAGAAGACCGACGAAGATGATTCATAAACATGCCCAATTCGTAGGAAATTCATTTGTGCGGAAATTGTCAATGTATTCGACGACAGCCTGAATCGCATCAGACTCCGCCACGCAACACAGCCTCGGCATGATATGATTCGTTTCTCGTACATCTGTAAATTATGACTTTTTAGAAAATTATTTTATGCCATTTTCCCAACGATAAAATATGAATTTGAACATTACCCAACTATTTTTTTAATGAACATTGACACACCCCATAACGATGACGACAAACAACAAACATCAACAAAAGCACATGTGTTACCCGCACAACAATATTCATTCCTTCAGTTTGCCATTCTAATCAGCGACTTAATTTCTGTTCAGGTATACTCTTCAATGCAATAATGACATGCTATGAACTTTTCATCCGGACTACGAATATTCAAAAAATCCCAATATTTCCAATACAGAATAGATGCTCAATCGAAGATTATGAGAGGGTTATCCTCGTAGTCTCCCACACCCGTGTCTATAGAAATGCTTGTGGGGGCTATTCTCCAATGAAATATTTTCGCAAAGATTATTCAGTGGAAGTGGGAACCCACACCACGAACCCGTCACACTTTTGGACGAAATGGAATGAAATATGAATATATTGCGGACATCAACCAATTTTATTTATAGTGGAAAGATCAAAAACAATTCCAAAAGATCTGTTCAATGTGAATCGATGCTTCCAGGCCCCATAGATCATTTCCTGTTATCTCAGTGTCTGTCATCGTTGAATACAAATAACAAATTTCTGAATATTTCTTTGAAAATTTAGTCAATCAATTAGGCAAATTAAAAATAAAAGAAAAAAAAATTATGCAAATTGAGGTTATGACGAACTTCGAAACTTTTATTAGACGTATCTGAAAGAAAAGTTATGAAGTTCTCAGGTTATGGACTATAGTCTCGAAGAGAATTTTATGGAATATTGTAATCAAGAGAAGAAATTTGATAGGAATCATGCTTGGATAATTGGAATCCTTACAACACCTGGAGGATAGGTAGTAGCATTAATATACAGGAATATGGAATGTGAAAAATCGTAATGAGCGGTGCTTTCGGTTACTACGGATAATGCAAAATAAATTTATTAAATAATGATAGCCCAATTAAATTCCCATGCCAATTCAAATTTATATTATTCTCAAATATGACTCATAAGTGGAAAGGCCTCTAAGTAAGATCACTCACAAATGCAAATTATTCTTGAAAATGAAGCCATTATCAATGCAAATATTGATAAATATTGTTGGCAGCCATTAGTTATCCAGATGACCTGAAAAATAAAGTTCCAATAAGTAATGCCCAACGACAGATCTATTTACAGAATTATTGATGTCCTTACTTTTGACATGAGAACGAATTTCCATCTGGTTGTTTTCCAATTGAGCATGGGAACTTCGGATTGTGATTCATTTGGATGAGAAACGTACGTACACTCCACAATCCCTAATATTGATTCCTCAAGTCGTTTTCGTCCATTTAGCGAATCAAGTAGCTATCAAAATTTACATAAATTGATTAGTCAGGAAATTTTTGGGAAATGGATTCTACATTTATGAAAGAACTTACTTGCAAATTCCCAATGGACTTTCCCTGAGATACAATTGTTTTGTTGTTTAACCTCATTTCCTCTGTAACAAGTTGCACACTCTTGGTAGCACGAGGAAAAAAACATCATTGTAGATATTGATTCAAAAACAATTCAAATACTCACCCGTGAGAAACATAATGTAGCAAATATTCAAGATCAAAATATCGGCAACGATTAACAAATGATAATTACTATTCGAGAATAGAAAAGTCGACCAGCACGTGTAACACTGAATAATCACGAATGGAGCAGCTTTGCTCCGCAGAATAGCACATCGTTCCAACTCTTGTAGCATCTTTGTATGGAAAATATGAATTTCCTTAGAATGAAAATGAATTTTTACTGAATAAATTTCAATATGATAATGAGCACTTCAATGATTCAACGGTCCTCTCCTGCCCTGAGTTTGATGTACATTTTACTCCTAAATGAACATGGCGTCCGGCAGTACATTTTCCCCCATTCCTCACAACTACGTAGAACTACCACCATAAATACACTTGGCAGATTATGGAAAATTGAGGATTCATTCTAATTATGCTCATTCTTTTTGAGATATTTTGAAAAGTCAATTTTAAAATTTGGGAAAATTAATTAGGTACTTTAACATGAATCCATTAACATATAGCGCATAATTAGCAGAAGGATAATTGAAAGAAAAATACTCAATAGCGTAGGAATGATTTGCAGAATCTATTCCTGAAGCCCGAATCATTTGGGGAAGAATGATATCTCTGCAATTAATCAATTTCAATTAGAACTATAGTGGGTGGGACATACGTACGTATAGTATTCTCTGGAGACTATCTGCGTACATGATGTTTTATACTCAAAGTATTGTTTGGGAACACGTAAGAAAAATTTCAATAGAAAACATTGAAGAATTCTATAGAAATTTCTATGGCAAATAACCAATTCTATGGAGCAAATAGTGAATAGAGAGCCCCAAAAACTCTCATAGAGATTTCTATAGAACTCTTTGAGATTTTCTATTGAAATTATTTATACGTGAACTGTCCTCGTATATGACTTGTTATACGCGAGGTATTATATCAGGAATGTGTAAGTGTCTTCAGCATCTCCACAATTTTATGAATTAATTGTGTCATTGCGTAATGTTTGATAAATAATTAGGAGAAATGAAAAAAAAAAAATGTTTCCTGAATGATTCCGAAAATTTATTTTAGCACACCAAGTCACTCAAAACTTAATTTCTATTCGAAACTGCTATTCGTCAACAAACTCAAATAGTGATAGATAAACTATAATTAGTTATTGAAGTAGAGGCGTGGCATAATTATGGTGCAAAGATGCACTGTACATATTATACATAGCATAACATTCATTTTAACAATTATTGTCCAGTATGATTAACTCTAGGTGTGAGTACGTGTACACAATCTTTTTAATGAATGACATTATCGATGAGTTAATTATTCTTTTCAATTAATCAATTTTTTTTTTCATGACTTATCATTCGAGAAATTGTTGTAGAGCTTTGGAGTAATAGTTCGCGGAGTTTATTCTAAGATAAATTAATGAACGGGTTCATTCTGCCTCAAGAATAATCAAAATGTTAAAAACAGATGGAATTTTCAATTCACTTTTAAAGATTGCAGCAAAACATCGATTCTAAAAATCACTTTATTTCTCGCATATTTTGTGACGAAAAATAATTATAAAAGTCGAAATATATTGAATGACTCATATAAACTACGCACTTACATCCTTTGATATATCTCTAACAAATGCCATAACTTTCGCAATTTTGAGAAGTTTCTCTCATCCAGGGAGCCTGTTTGCCTTTAGATATCTCTCTTTTAAGCCAAATTCGTTTATCCTGAAACTGAAAATATATTTTATAAATAAAAAATTATTATTCATCACCAATAATAAAAATAATTAAATTTCAGAATAATTTGTGTAATAATTTTTTATTCAAATATTAATTATTTCTTTACACAGCGAAGGGGTTGGTTCAGAGTTATGGTTTTTGAGCTTTCTTATGGCGAACATAATGCTACTGAGATTACTTCCTTGGATAGGAGAATTTTTATTTGGAAAAAATCAGAAATTCTTGTGGAAAAAGGATTTTTCATTATTAAGCAACTAAAATACATGAAATATTTCATCACAAAACTATTTTCACTTGAAAAATTAGAAAAAAAAAATACGGATATTCCAAGATTATCTGATCTGGAAAATTATTGAAAATAAAAGAATCATGACTTTCCGTAAGAGATCCTTCCGGTGGAAAAAGAGAGGAATGAGATGTATTTGCCGCAGGATTTGGATTCCAGGGCCCAAGCTGCGTTAGTCTTCACCTGAACGAAAGACAAAGAAATTATTCGCCAACGATTCATTTATTGCTTTAGTTTTGTTAGTTCAGAAGACAATAGAGAATTTATTAACCTTGAAATTAGGACTGTGGCAGATCAGATCGCACAAAGCAGGAATGGCCTGGTCCTTCCAGTTCTGTGGGAAAATATCATCAGGATGATGACTCATGGCGAACCCCAGAGCCTGCAGGCATTCCACCGGACCTTCATGTGATTGCCAGAAGTGGTGAATGAGATGAGAACGTCGAAGGCGAGCTGAACGTCCCTCCGAAGATTCATTCCCTGGGACAGATAGAGAACGTTTCCCACAGCCCTCAGGGCATTGCACCTGACCTTGTTGCTTTGGACACTGGTTTTGTAGAGCTTGAGGAGGATGAGGTGCAGGGGAAAGGGCTTGACGTTGTCATTGAGGACCTGCTTGATGAGGTAGTCTGTGAGGCTGGCCAGGGCCCAGGCGAATTTCACTCTGACCCCGAAGTTCTCGTCGGCGAGGGACGTGCAGACGATGTCTGTGACGTCCTCCAGGAAACCAGTGTCCTCTTCAAGGGAGAGGAGGTTTATCAGCATCCCTAGGGCTCGGAGACCTGCAGCTCGCACTGCTGATTCAGGGTCTCTGCAGGCCCCAAAGAGCGTTGTCTTCATTATTATTGACTTGTCGAACTGAAATTTATTATTTTAAAATTCGGAAAGATTCGGAAGTCGAAAAATTCTAACCTCGAGATAATTAATTTTCACTCATGGACAATTGTGTGAAGACTTCATTGCTGATCGTCCCGAAGGAGTCGCAGGCGAATTCCCTCAATCCAGTCTCTGCACTCTGAGAAATCCTCAGGACAGCCCCAAAAACGGTATTCTAAAAAGTCAAGAGTCCATTCTGTCCCTCTGAACTCCATCCACTGAATTTACAACTGATGATTTCGAGGACTTTGCAGGCGTGAAGAGCAACCTGAGGATCAGCCTCACTGGTGGCCTCCACTAGGTGCCCCGTGACTACTTCAACATCCAGGAAATCCTTGAAATTCCCCTCGAGGCAGTTTATCAGAGCCCCCAGGAGTTTGAACGACTGCCGTCTCACTGACACGTGAATTTTCTCTTCTGAGATATTATTCAGAAAGATCTGGACTAGAAATGGGGAGTCCTCGGTGTCGCCACAAGGGTCAGTCGACTTTCTCAGGCATTCTGGCACATCATGATCATTCAGAGAGGACTCTAGACCGAAGCAGTTGACCTCTTCATTGTTTTCTCCATCGCTTGGGGTTTGTGATGGGGGCGTTTCGAGAGGTTGTATCGTCAGACTTTCTGAAGAGGATGTCCAGAACGTCTGGAGTCATATTCTCGACATTGGCGGAGGCCTCGAAGACGGAGAGGGCGACTACTCGGTCTGTTGGATCCTTGTGGAGTAGAAAGTATATGAAAATCGTAATTCCATGGAGAATTGTAAAAAAAACCTCAAAATTACTAGAAAAAAAAAGTTAATTGAGTTTTTCCAGGCCATGACCTACCTGCAGTGCCTCCTCAGCTTCCCAGCGAGTTCCCCCTTCATCCTCCCATACGGTGTCACCTGGACAACAGCAGCTGAGCACTTCAACGCCTGCGTGATGACTGCCAAGTTGCCCTCCTCACTCAGCACCAGCCCCAGCCACAGCCCCACATGAATTTCCCTGAGCCCCCACAACTCCAAAAATCGTCCCAAAGGACGGTCCCTCGGACTCATCGGTTTGCACGAGGAACATCCTGGGATCGACCACAGCATCAGTCAAGACTGATGAGCCCTCCAAGATGGTATTTTTGCGGACAAGAACATCTCCAGCCTTCCAAGCTGCTTCTCAAATCCCAGCAAGTGCTCCGGAATATCTTTCAGCCACCCAGACTTCAACATCTCCGGCCTGACTGCGAAGAATTGGGCATGTTTATGAATCATCTTCGTCGGTCTTCTGACTTTAATCTGATCTGAAAGATTCATAAAAATGAAAGAATCATGATGTTCATTAGAAGGTCCTTCCGGTGGAAAAATCTCCTAGTGAGATGGGTGCCGGGGAGATGAGTCTAAGAGAATTTTTTTATTTTTTGGGAGCAAGGTATTCAGCCATTACTGATCAAGTCTTGGAAAAAAAACGAATTTTGTCTGAGGTTTTATTCAAGTTTCCCCTAATAAACGGTGAAATTGAATTTTGCCTTCCAAAAGGGAAAATGAATCAATCAAATGAAAGTAACTGAATGAAAATATAAAATTTGCGCATGAGAAATTTAATGTCATTTATTTATACGAAATTTTTACAAGGAATCGACTGTAAAAAAATTAAGAGAATGAATGATTGAATTTGGAATAAAATCAATTTTACTTACTGCCATTTCTCCCTCGAAGAGAGAAATCACTCGGCATGTGCCAACATCGGCGGACCTTCTCCTGGTGCAAATCATTAGTAAATTTTTTGCTAATGATTGTAATCAACCATAACCCTTTCTACTTGTCAGAATGCAAGGTGATAGAACACTGCACACAAGTATTCCTCCGTGCTCGAAAAAAAAACGAATGTACCCATTGATGCTTAATAAACTGTAACTTCGAAGCATTCAATGTTCATTTATTGGGATAAATAATGGAATAATAATATGGACAACGATATAAACAACGGACCAGATGTATGTAAATATTAATGTCGATAACGTAGGAACTACCAATGATCTGCGGGGCGAGGGGGGGGTTGACAATGATTACTTACCGCAGCTTTAACTAATAAATGATGATTGTACAAACGATAATAATTTCAAATTCGTAATGTACAAACGATTTCCTTTGAGATAGCCCCTAACTTGAGCTGATTGAACAGTTTGAAATTTTTGTCGGCTAGAATCATGCCAAAACTTCATTAATTTTTTTAAATTAATTGGTGGGTGTACAAACAAAAAAATCACTGTACAATCATGTACTAACGATGTACAATCGAGTACATAAGATCATTTTTCTAATTAGTGACCTATGTCGGCTAGGTACCTGCGGGTGAATCGGCGGGCGGAGCGAGCGGTGATGTTCGCTGTCGAGTAGGTGAGGAAAACCTACCGCAGTTCGAAACGCCGACGGGCGGCGGAATCCTGCCCTTAATATAACAATC